TGGCATTTCTCTGGTCTCCACGTTGGTTTGCCCTGAATTTATGGTGTAATTCCAATTCAAAAAGCAAACTTGAATCTCAAAGTAGATATATATGTATGCACAAATACTTATAGTCAGTCTATTATGACACTTTGAAAAGCTGGGGTAGGTGACACGTTTGCGGCCCGCGCACGAGTACGGCTAGATCGCATACACATAATTCATTCTGCACCTGAGATATCACATCAACAGGTACCGAGCTACATACATCTGAAAATGTATGTACTACTTATAATAAATTTTCTAACCCACCCAGCTTAGTATGGGAAAACGTGTGGACCATGACTTAGACCTCGCGAATACATGTGCTGGCGTATGTGTATGCAGTAACTGGACTAGATATTATTCTAGGTCAACAGCCAACATTATTACTTTTCTTAATGCATGTACGTACGTACTAGGTCGTGATGCCAAACGGTCATACGAATATTTACTTTATAGCTACACAATACGCTATAATGCTATGTTTGTGTTGCTAATACAACCATTTAATAGAATTCTCGCATGCATAAGAAAAGTCTTGAGAATTTGTGTAGTTCATATTTTTTTAAACACCCGTACGTACATCAACCCATATCCCAAACTGGTTGGAGGCAATATTGTCATAAACTCGTAGCTAGCGTAGAAATCGATATCGTTAAAGAAAAAAATTGACCACCTTGTTTAAAGTCGGCTGTTGTGAGAACCAATGCGCATGAATAATACATATTATAACATTAGCAACATCATACTTCTCGTGACCCGTCCCCTTCGATCTCCCTATTTGACAAAACCTCTAACTCCTCGCCACCTTCCTTGACCCTGATTTTGGCAATTTCATTGCTTCGTATCTCGCCACGAATTAACTTAACCGCGAGTGGGTTCAGAAGCTTCTTGCTAATAAGCCTATTCAAAGGCCTAGCTCCATATCTGTAGTCGTAACCATGCGTACTTAACCACTCTTTTGCCTCCGGCTCTACATCTAGTGTGATTCGTCGGTCCAGCAATCTTTCCTGTAGCTCTTTAAGACGTATATCAACGATATCCCTGATGGCCTCCCTGGAAAGTCTCTGAAACACAATGAACTCGTCTATTCTGTTTAGAAACTCGGGGGGATAGGTGTGCTGAACTATATCCATGACTTTCGCCTTCGTCTCGGGGGAAATAGGACCTTCGGGTGTAGCATCATCAATTAAAATGTCCTGACCAAGATTGGACGTTAATACTATTATCGTAGAACGGAAGTCGACTTTGCGGCCTTGGGCATCGGTCAGGAAACCTTCATCAAGAACTTGAAGAAGCAATGATGAAATGTCCTTGTGAGCCTTTTGAAATAATTAGAACACTGTATACTCTGGTGAAAAATTGCGATTATAAAGGACTACCTTTTCAAACTCGTCAAATAGCAGGACTGCGTATGGCTTTCTTCTCACAGCTTCTGTCAACTGCCCAGCGTCCTCATACCCGACATATCCTGCTGGGCTCCCAATAAGTCTACTAACTGTGTGCTTCTCTTGAAACTCGCTCATGTCAAACCTTATGACAGCGCTCTCTGTGGAAAACAAAAACTCGGCCATCCTTTTACACAATTCGGTTTTACCAACGCCTGTAGGTCCCAGGAACATAAAGCTAGCAGTAGGACGGTTATCACTCGCCAAACCGGCACGCTGGAGCCGCACAGCATCTGCCACAGCCTTGAGGGCTTCATCTTGGCCTTTGACTGTCATTCGCAGGGTATCCTCCATATGAATTAATTTCTCGATATCCCCAGACATCAATTTAGTTGTAGGAATTCCGGTGATCTTGGACACAACGCGAGATATATCCTCTGAATCAACTGAGTCATGAAGAAGAGATGGCTTTGAGGATGAATCGCCGTCCTTTGGGAGTTTTGCTTCCAGTTGCGGGATCGTTGAATATTGCAGCTCGCTAGCTTTCCCGAAATTACCTTCCCTCCTATACTTTTCAAGCTCCAGCCTTGCCCTCTCGAGTTCCGCTTTGGTGTTCTTGATCTCTGCAAGTTCCGCCTTTTCTTTCTCCCATACTTTGATAAGTTCATTGACCTTTGCCTGTTTTTCCTTCAAAGTTTGCTCGAGTTGCTCTTTCCGTTCTTTAGAGGCAACATCTTCCTCTTTCCGGAGTGACTCGAGTTCGATCTGGATCGTCAGAATCGCGCGATCAAGCTCTTGTATTTCATCAGGACGAGATTCCTGTTGAAGTCTGAGCGCAGATGCGGCCTCGTCAATTAGGTCTATGGCCTTGTCGGGGAGGAAACGGTCCGTAATATATCTATTTGACAAAGTCGCCGCAGCTACTAACGCACTGTCAGTGATCCTAACACCATGATGAACTTCGTATCGATCTTTGATCCTATGGTTTTTATACAAAATTAGCGAAAAACATCATAACCTCAAAAAGCCAATAACTCACCCTCGAAGAATAGTTATTGTATCTTGAACTGTTGGCTCATTGACAATTATGGGCTGAAACCTCCTGGCCAGTGCCGCATCCTTTTCAATTTGACGATATTCATTCAATGTTGTTGCGCCACAACATTGAAGCTCACCACGACTGAGTTGGGGTTTGAGAAGATTCGAAGCATCAACTGATCCCTCCGCCTTTCCGAGACCCAAAAGTGTATGAAGCTCGTCAATGAAAAGGATGGTTTTTCCCTGGGACTCAGTGACTTCCTTTAGAACACCCTATAATACAGTTAGTCACACTACATGGATAATGATTACAATCGAATTATTCATTACCTTCAATCGCTCCTCAAAATCTCCCCTGAACTTCGCTCCGGCAATTAACTGGCCGAGGTCCAAGCTGATGACTCTTTTCTCTTTCATACTCTCAGGAACATCTCCACGAACTATCCTCTGTGCGAGTCCCTCAAGAATTGCGGTTTTCCCCGTACCAGCAGGGCCTATAAGAACAGGATTATTCTTAGTCCGCCGGGAAAGAACTTGGATTGTCCGCTTAATCTCAGCATCACGGCCAATGATTGGATCTAATTTTCCATCTCTTGCGCGAGCTGTCAAATCGATTCCAAATTGCTCCAGAGCTGATTTTTCGTCTAAAATCGGGCGTTAGAATGAATATATTTGCAAAAGTGCTCAAAATTATAATGCGGCGGTGATATATCTACTTACCGCCACCGCCACCAAGGTTCATCCGATGTGTCCCACCAGGTGGATGCACTGGACCCCGTCCACTTGCATATCCTCTGGTGTAGGCTATAGGCAATAAATTTACTTGTGGAATTGAGAGTACCCTTGTTAAAGGAAGTCGTAATTGAGATTTTGAGCTATTTCGAAGCGTTGGTTTGAGTAGTGGAATTCGAGGCAATGGACGAAAAACGACACCTGCAATACGTGACTGTGGAAGCATTTTGATCGAGAATTCCTGTTGAATTTTTTGGTTCAATCGCTTTGGGGGGGGGCGGTGAGATCGACCCTATATAAATATGCTATAAAATAATTATAATGCTCATGATATATCACCCGAATTCGCGAAGCTTCTATTACATTCTAGCTTACCTACATGTAGAGTATTGAAATGTATCGTGTTACCCGGCTATGATTCTGGCCACGTGATATATATAGCTCAAGTAGTGTATACATGTATGTATATACGATTTAGCAGGTTCTCGATAATGGGCTTCGATTATGGGAGACCAAAAGATACAGGTTAATATCGTACCTATAGACGCGCATACCAACCCCAATATGAATAGCGCGGGCGTGATAGTCACACTTTATCACTCGAGGATGTACTACTAGTTCCATTATTAATCATACATTGAAAGTTACAATATAGCTAGAGCTAGCTAGAGATCTGCGATGCGCCACAATGTTACACGGGTTATCAGGGTTCAACCACCTCCGGTGAACATCATTCGCTTTTTTCAAGCTTGAAATATCTGCAGATGTGACATCCTTGAAAGTCACAGAAACATTCAAAGGGGTTGAAGACATGAGTCTGTGGCGCAGAGTTGGCTTATTATCTCGGCATCTAACGGTTTAATAGCATCTCGCTGGTACATACAAGTACATAAGATATAAGGTATGGATGTTAGAGATATCTATTGTCAATCAGCTCTTCCCAAGAGTAAGTATTGCAGAGCCTATGTGTTGTCCACGCTAATTGTGCAGTTAGGCAATTAAGGTATAAAAATAAACTCCAATTACCAAATTCCATCGAAGCTATCATAGCAGCGTATGATCACCACCGATCGAAGGTGTATTCACAGCCTTATGAGGAGGTGTTTCACCGACTTTTATCACCCCAATAGCAATAGGTACCGGTGCTGGGATTAAAGAGGGGGACTAAACTGCTTTGGTTGAACTTTGAACTCCAGATAATACAGTACAGACAACTGTTACTGATGCTGTGAGGCTGCATAGTAACTGGTAAATACTCCACAACCTACTGCTTACCCCGGTAGCACTTTCCCGGACGGATGGCCTTCCGAGCGTCAGCTGTATGTACATACAAGCACAGCCCTGTCGGAAAAGGGCGTAGCAGCCGAAGATGTATCATGTTATATTGTCAACACGTCGCCAAGATGATCACGAACGAGGAACCCTGTGAAAGGGAGCGATAATTTTTAATCTGTGCACATCTACCTACGTTTAATAAGAACAGAGAGGTTTAAAACTGGGTGAGGGCGACTTTACTGGTATACAGCCTGAATGAAGGCTGCCTCTAAATCTACTCAATATTTGCTCTTCTCAGTCTTCAATCGATCTAGGTCGGTTATGAAACCTCTGTGAGAATACATGAACCTACATATCTATGTACATGTATCTTCTTTGGATCAACAGACAGGTGCATAAAAATAGGGAGCCACTAATCCCAGAACCCTCATTACCAAGCCTTTATTGAGGAGTCTGTCAGACAACACGAAGGGGCTGGGAAAATAAGATATTACGAGCACAATCCAACTTCTAGAAGTCAGTGGTGACTTCTTGTATCATCCGACAATGGAACGGGAACCGAAGAAACATTCTGCCTGCGATGAGTGCCGTACGTATCTCTTTAATGCCTTTCAAGTGGAATCAAAGAGCTAATAAATGATACTGCAGGTGCGCGAAAGCTCAAATGTTCTGGGAATCACTCTGGCTGCGAGCGATGCCACAAAGATAAAGTAGCATGCGTGTACTCAATCCAGAAGCCTATGGGGAGGCCTCGGAAAAGGCGCAGAGGCGGCGATACGGCAGATGATGAGCAGGCTCAGTATTCTTCACAGATACCTGCGGAGCTTTCAATAGTAGAACCATCTTCCAATCGCCATCACAACCACAATCACATCGTGGGTCCCGAGCAAGGTAACGCTCTAGAGACACTCTTTGTGGACCAGTTTGAATGGTTAAATTAGTGAGTATTTATCCCTAAATCTTCTACTGTGTGTATTTTGTGGAATTAACAGGTGGTTTGCTCTCTTTGTGTATAGTGAAACCTTCGACCCCAACGCAGCCCCTACCGGTTTATTTGACCTGGAAGCTCAACCCGCAAGCGCGATTCTCGGAATATCTGAGGGCCCCGTATCACCTCCTAACCGTAACTCTACCCTCCGTCTTCGCACAGGCGAGCCCTCGCCGTTCCATCTAAGGGACACACCAGCAGAAACCTTCGTCCTCAGCGACAGACTGGCGGCCTATTTCCCCGGAATAGAGGAAAGACCGCTTCCAACATCATGTTCTTGCTTGTCTTCCTTTTTTTCAATAATCTCGACGCTTCGAATTCCACCACCTACACATTCTGTCTCACTCCCATACGCCCTCCAGACTTCAGATGCAGCTCTTCAAGCTGCTCAGGCTTCGTTCAACTGCGAGTCCTGTCACTCAAACGTTCAGGCCACCTATATCACAAACATGTTGCTGGGAATTCAGCTGCCGCTGCTTTGTCAGTTCTACCATAGGGTATTGGCGTCTGTAGAGGCTACCACCGATCCGCAATATGTAGTTATGGGCGATGGACAAGCAATGCAACTCGATCCTGAACAGTGGAAGATTATGGCCAGAACCGCCATAAGGAAGGAAGCTATGAAAGTGCTGGAAATTGTGAAGCAATTGGAGATACTGGCGGGGCAGTTCCATGGCGTACCGGCGTCTAGGGTTGGACATCTCACGGATAGGTGGGGCAACGAACCGCTTTGTATAAGGATTTTAAAGACCATCAAGGCAGTCGCCGAGTATATCGCACTCCGATAAGGACTAGGGGAAGAGGAGTAATGACTATTGTATGGAGGCGTTAGATTAGCTTATGGGTTTACGAGTTATTTGGGTCTGACGATAATTTGAATTAGTGTTATGGTTGATATGACATCTCGTTCGTCGACTTGATTTTTGAATTATGAAAATTTTGATACCTCGGACTGTTTCGCACAAATTTATTTTGAGAGTTTTTCATATCGAGTGACAAAGCATGAAGTTGTGAGAAGGCCATGATGCGAGGAGGCATAGAACGTTCAAAATATGGGATCACATCTAGCTCTTATATATGTGGGTGGTCTTTGTCTTCCGCATTGGGGTTGGACCGTCTCCCAGAGCAGTTTCCAAGAATTCGATAATGCTCCGAAAATATTCCGGCAATTTTCCGATTGTGGCCGAAAACAACCTACATGTAGCTTGCCTGCGTTGGAATGTATTATTTACAATCAATAATTTGCTTCACTTTTCCTGGTACCAAATTTACCCACCTACTCAATAAGAAAATCGATGTAGGGGGTCTTGGTAGATGCTTCTAGGGACCCTTTGTCCCGTTGCATGATGTAACCGGGTTTCCGGGGAGTTAGAGGGTCTAAAATATTAGAAATATGAATAGGAAGCAATTGTGCTTGATGCCAATAGCTACTATTAACTACTCTGATTTTACAAATGACTTGATATGCGACGAAAAACCTCACTAAAATACACTGCAACCCTACGCAGCCCTCCTATCAGAGTTCCTTAAACTAAACCAAACCAATTTCGTATCGTACTAAACGCTATCATGATATCTCTACTGTCCTTAAGATTTGCCGATGCTTCGAAAGCAATTTTCAGACTGAACTACTCAGATTCCTCCAACAGTAGCTTAAAGCTAAAGGGCTCGAAAGCAATACCGTCTCCAATGAAAAATTTGCTCTACCAAGTATGTTAGTAACCACGTTGAACAAATGCCAAAACATTTCCACAGAAAAACGTACCATAGCCTCAACCCAATGCAATCTCAAACTATGCAACATGGCACTAGTTCCTTCCATAATTACCAACACTACAATTGTGCAAATAAACCAGAACCCGAATAAAATGACGATTGCGATGACACCGATGGTACCGGTGAACCCAAAGGCAATGGCTAGGGTCATTGACCAAAGAACGATGGAGAGCTGTGCATGAGCAAGAGAAAGTGCCCACAAACGGAGATAGGAGGCGGTATGGGAGATACAGTTCAGGCAGAATTCTAGATTCGCGATCAGCTAAGACCTCAAGTAGAGTATGATATGCTGAGAAGACTTACCAATGGTGTGAATAACCTGATGGATGACCACCTCACTAAATTCAAACTCTTCTTCTTCCTTCATTTCCTCTGCGATGAGGACATGACCAGATCCATCGCTGTCCACACTATCCCTTCCTCTTGTGACGTTATCATCGTCGTCATCATCATCTAGAGCGCTAACCCTTGAGACTTGACCCAATCCTTGATATCCAGCTGCTCGATGCTTATTATGCTCCCACCTTAAATATAAGGGTTTGAGCATCAACATCCATGGAACACAGACGAGGGCTATTAATAACAACATAACCTGCACTCCGGACTGTCCAGGATAAAGCTGTTCTGGAACATTTCCGGGGGAAAGGAACATGTAAATAAGCATGTTCAACAAACTAGGTGGCTGTTGCTCTCGAGCAGGCCAATCAACAGTCCACTTGTAAATGATGCACATAACCAGGTACCCGAAGATTGACTGAAAGAAGATCATCCCTGGGATAAAATTGCCCCAGGTATCGATTCTTGATTTAAAGTACCGGTGATTATATTGTGACAGGCAAAGAGAGTAAGTCATCTTAAATACGAATAACGCTTATTAGTAAAGACCAAACTTAAGGAATAACGTTGAACTCACATGAGCCCAACCCAATATAATACTGAGTTTCATTTTAAGACTGTTCGTAAATAATAAACTGTTTTCTGCTCCGTGCCATTGCCAGTCGAGACCAAAAGGATACGCATAGCCCAGTTTCTTTACTGCCTCGATGTTGTCACCCTCAGTGAAGTGAGAGGGGTATTCCCAAGCACTCTCAAATAATGTGATGGGTTTAGAGAAGATGTCGTTATAGATAAGACCTGTGTAGATTGAGAAGATACCCATGAGCAGCATGATGTATCGTCCGAAGAAAGCCATGTCGAAAAGCTCAAAAATCTTTTTTCCCTGAAGAGATTTCTCATACCATACCATTGCAAGGGCAGCGAGCGTCAAGATGATTCCGTGACCGATGTCACCGAACATGACGGCAAACAGGAACGGAAAGGTTACTATAGTCGCCAAGCCTGGATTGACTTCGCGGTATTTTGCAACGCCATAAGCATCAACGATAGTCTGGAATGCCAGAGTAAACTTATTGGTCTTGTGGAAGGTTGGTGGGGTCTTTGTTGTCTTAAGTTCGTTGAGGATGCTTGGCACTTGTATTCCAGCACGGACAGTAACCTCCCGCAAACGCTCTTGGATCTTGGGCAAAACATTTGTTGGTAACCAACCCTCAGCTATCAAACATTTCCGTGCCGAATCATAAATGAATAGATTCATTGTTTGATAAATAGCCTTTTCCTTCTTGATAACCACCATCCAGCTTGCCAAATTTTGTGCGATTGTCCTCAATTCCGCATTCAGAGTGTTCTTGGTGTTTTGCAAGACAGATTGAAGATCTTCTATACGCCTATTGACCTCGTGGAGCTGGTCGCGACGAAGATTCGTCTCTTCATCAACTGCGTAAAGGTCGGCTCCAAGAGATTCGGAAATCTTGCGGATCTTTGACAGAATTTCCTTGCCATGAGCAAAGATTACAAAAACATTCTTGTCAACATTCTCGTTGGTTGTTGGGTCTGTGATTGGCTCATCGATCTCGGATTGATTCATGTAGAGATTCCCTCTCAATGTCCTCCAGAGAATCCTTTCGAATGCCGAAATTCTATCACGGCGAATAACACCAGCGACGAATCCAATATTCATTGTCTGGAAACTCATCTCTCCCTGATTTCCGTACTGAGCTGGGGTTGACTGCTCAACATCCTCAAGAAGAGGAGCAGAAGGCTCGTCAGTCGAACCTCGACGAATCTCATCCGCCTGGCCATGAGCGCGGTCAAAAAAGCCACCAGCCTCTCGCAAGACCCATCTATACTCTATGAGTTCAACCCATCTCTTCTGAAGCGTTTCGTAAGATCCGTTTAGTTGGCTGACCCGGGCTTCCAAGGCTTCTGCACGCTCGGCAAGCAAATCAATTTCCGAGGAGCTTGGGGCAGCAGTGAGGGTTGCATTGTCCTGGACAGGGCGGACTGGGACAGAGTTCTTTTCCATCTGAGAAGCGAAATAACCTACGACTATTAATACCTTACCGCGATTCTGAGCAGAGTATTCAGGGAGCGCATACGAAGTTGACGTTCAACATTGTCCAATCGCCTAATCTCTTTGGTAAAGGTCCGCTGGAAGGCAGAGGTTTCAGCGTTAAGCTATAAAACCGAAAAGATCAGCACATATACTCTTTCTCTGTTAAATTTGGACACACGGCTTTTGTTGTTTTCACGACCTCCTCCTCCTTATTCCCCAAAAGTATTGATAATGGGGCAACTTACGTCGCGGAACTGAAGCAAGCCAACTTCTCCTAATTCACTAACGGTTTCTCTCCCTATTTCTGTCGCTACATACAATTGTACGAGCGACATTTCCGACGAGCGGAACAAAGTGTCCTGGCCCATCTTGGCGATTTGCCTTAAGACGCGTTCCGGGGAGCGAGGTAAGCAAGTAAGAAAGGGACCTATATAATGCCGAAAACAAGCTGTTGAAGTATTCTGTGTATCTAGGTAGGCGTGATGGTGAGAGAGTAAGAGGAAAGCGAGATGATGAAGGAGGCGGGAAGAGAGATAAGTACAGTATGTGGCTTGTATGGGGGCGTTTAGCCCTTGATTACTTGATTGGTCACTTGTCGTCACACTGCATGTTCCCAGGGCTGCGCCTGGTGGTACCACAAGTACTCAAGCATAGCTTCAAGACTCTCTTTACACGGAGCAACATTCAACCTTTATTTCGTCCACACCCCAATCATCTACCCATCATCACAACCATCCTCCAAGAAAACGTCAAAAACAACCAAAACTTCTTCAATATATATAACGTTCGTCATGGCAGACGTCGCCGTTCAAAAACGCCCCGCATCTTCACCGTTCGCCGACCCCTCCTATGCTTCCACCCTCGATAATAGTTTGGTCACGGATAACAATGACTATGCGAAGCTTAAAAGACTTCAGCGACACCTTGAGTAAGCCTACTCATTCCTGAATGATGGAGACTGGATGATGGACAGATGGTCCATCTATAGTTTCTTGATAGATTGGCGGAGTTATAGATAACTAATAGCTACGGCAAAATAGATATATAAGCCTACAAGAAGAATACATCAAAGATGAGCAAAGGTATTTCGGGTACCCTCCTAATTCATTTCTCAAAATTCTGATTACAACAATAGGAGCCTGAAAAGGGAGCTTGTGCGGGCGCAGGAAGAGATCAAACGCATCCAAAGTGTTCCTTTGGTGATTGGGCAATTCATGGAGGCTATCGATCAAAAGTATATTGTTAACTTATCCCACGAAATTCCTTGGCACTGATAACTTATTCTTTTTAGTACTGGCATCGTTCAAAGCTCCACGGGTTCAAATTACGTCGTCCGAATCCTGTCTACCCTTGACCGAGAACTACTGAAGCCTTCATCATCAGTAGCGCTTCACAGACATTCAAATGCCCTTGTCGACATTCTTCCTCCAGAAGCAGATTCCTCCATTGCTATGCTCCAAGCACACGAGAAGCCTGATGTAACATACGCCGATGTTGGTGGATTAGATATGCAAAAGCAAGAGATCCGCGAGGCCGTAGAGCTTCCCCTAACCCATTTTGATCTCTACAAGCAGATTGGTTTGCTACTATAATCTATTATGGACCTGGCATACACTAACTTTGTGCAGGTATTGATCCGCCACGTGGAGTTCTACTTTACGGACCTCCTGGGACTGGTAAAACTATGTTAGTAAAGGCTGTAGCAAACAGTACTACTGCTTCTTTTATCCGCGTTGTGGGTTCCGAGTTCGTTCAGAAGTATCTTGGAGAGGGGCCTCGAATGGTTCGTGATGTTTTCCGCATGGCTAGAGAGAACTCCCCCGCCATAATTTTCATAGATGAAATTGATGCCATCGCAACGAAACGTTTTGATGCTCAAACAGGTGCAGATCGTGAAGTACAACGAATTCTGTTGGAACTGTTGAATCAGATGGATGGATTTGATCAAACCTCAAACGTTAAAGTAAGTTTACCTCCATGGGACTAATAACTCTGCCCTACTTTTTCTAACAGGACAAAGGTCATCATGGCCACAAACCGCGCGGATACTCTTGATCCAGCGCTTCTTCGCCCTGGTCGCCTTGATCGTAAAATTGAGTTTCCGTCTCTCCGCGACCGTCGTGAGCGTCGTCTCATCTTTTCTACAATCGCATCCAAAATGTCACTTTCTCCTGAAGTTGATCTAGACTCGCTCATCATCCGTAACGACCCTCTCTCGGGCGCTATTATTGCTGCAATCATGCAAGAGGCGGGTTTGAGAGCTGTAAGAAAGAATAGGTACAATATCATCCAGGCCGATCTGGAGGATGCCTACAGCAGTCAGGTTAAGGGTGGAAATGAGGCGGATAAGTTTGAGTTTTACCGTTAAAGTTTCTTTACTTGTCCTGCTGGATACTTTGTATAATATTAGGAAATTCATGGGATTTTTGTTGAAGCCGTAGCTAATTACTCCCTGTATTATTCCAACTCTGGATTTTGCCTGTTTGAGTTGAGCGGTTGCAAGCTTATACCTTTTTATTTGGTAGGGAAAAAAGAACGACCAAGTACTGTTCCTAGATATAATGCACAGTGTATTTACCTACATGTATAAGTAGCATTGAAGCTACGTAGCATTTGTGAGTACATATAGGTACATGTACTCTACATACCTACATTTTTATGATTGGCACCAATGTGGCAGTTACCCGGCCTGATTGTGAGAGGAAACCCAAGTGGTTTATGTTAAAATTCCCCGTCCATTCAGGCACAGTGACCCGAACAACTTCGTCGCCATGTTACATCTCTTTTCAAAACGTACAATTACAGTAATTTCTACTTCAAAGAGGACAATATGCGCTAAAATTAATACCTATGCAACTGTATCATCTTCAGTTTCTTTGAGCTCAAGGCTACTAGTTCAGCGCCCACGAGTTTATCCTCAGTTCTTTCAACCAAGTGCATTTAGACAGTATGCTACCAAATCAAGAAAACATGCCAAATCTGTCCCTAAATCGGCAAATTCGGGAAAATCAAATCTCGTAGCCCAAAACATAAAGGAAAATTTACCAGGACTGGACAATCAACCTCGACTGCTTGATCGTCTGAGAGCCGCGGGTGCCATCTCTGATCTCCAAGCTCCCCCGAGTTTGTCCCATGTACCTACTCAAGATACATTTATTTCCCCAATAGAGTGCCAGGCTGACCGTAGGTATTGAATAGTTTCAACGCCTCTTCGCTCCCTTTATTTTCACATCAGCCATCTGTGGTGGTTCTTATTACTTTGCCCAAACCTGGGTACCAGCACCGGTGGAATCCCGTCTTTTCCCGACACTCCCGCAATCGTTTACAACTGTTGCAGCGATTATTGCAGCCAATTGCGCAATATTTCTGGCATGGAAGGTCCCCCTCCCAGTCTCATGGCGACTACTCAACAGATATTTTATCTCTGTAGCGGGATTGCCGAATAGCTTCAGCATGATTGGAAGTGTCTTTTCGCATCAGACCATAGCTCATTTGGGGCTTAACATGATTGTAATAAACACCCGGACGCCCCGAATTCTATCAAATAAGGGGAATTGTACTGACGCTTGGCCAAATATATTTGACAGGCTTTATATATGGGCGGAACTTCCCGTATGTTACCTGTTTATTAAAAAGTAATAGGGAATAAGTCTGATGGATTTTATAGTTTGTGATCAGATAGGCCGGGGAAACTTTCTAGCACTTTACTTTTCAGCAGGAGCTGTAGCCTCATTTACCTCTCTTGCGTACCATGTTCTTGGGGCTAGATTCCACATCACTTCACTTGGAGCTTCAGGCGCAATCAGTGGTGTCCTCGGCACATATGCTTATTTCAACCCAGAGTACGTACACATTTCAACTTGTCTACATGGCTCACCCAACCTTGACCTACTTGCTAACATCATCCCTTTAGACGCGTCCCCTTAGAGTTTATTCCATTGAAAGTTTCTCAGCTTGTAAGTGGCTTCGCCTTGGTTGGGTTCGTCGGGATCATCAGAGGATGGAAAACAGTCGATCATATGGCGCATCTGTCAGGTTTGCTCTGGGGGTTGGCTTTTGCCTATTGGAAAGATCAGGATTTCAAAAAGAAGAGAGAACTTGCCTGCGAAAACTCCGGCTAGCTTCCATGGTAATGAACTAGAGGTATTTTTTTCCTTTATCTCTTCTTATAGTGATATCAGGTAGGGCGGGCATTGTATAATAGATCCCAGGATTTTTCCCCCATTTTACTTCGAGCTGTTTCTATAGAATATCGGGTAAGATTCATAGAAATAGATATTTCAGGCAGTATGTACGTGTATGTTGAGTTATATTGGTGGATCGGGGGGTGGAAGTTATCGGAGTTATTTATTTCTTGGGCAGCTGTACCTGCAGCATGGTCGTTCGAGCACTCTTTATAGTTATGCCAAGCGAATGATTCTCAATGGTTTAATACGATAGAGCCTCATTGTTGCCCCACGCCAACCCCGCATAGAGACATTATAATCACCACATAGAGCGCGCAAAAAGGACCTTAAAATGAGCGCAACTTCCCACCCGATAACTCCGGTAATTGTCATCATATAAACCAGCTACTTTCCGCCCCCTTATTGACAACGTTTGTTCAAGCAGGAGTTCTTCCTCCAGGCGATCCGTGAGCTCGAGCTTGAACAACTACACGCAGAAGCGGCACGCCTCGACCTCTCATTATACCATCTCAGGCGCTCTCAGGTGCAACTGGAGGAATTCATGGATGATCCCGTATGCAAGGCTGCGATTGAGGATAATAAGGTCGTCATCAAAGACCAGTCCGACAGAATCGACATGATTAGGCTGGAGGTCGAAAGGAGGGGTTTCTCAATGGAGCATGGAGCTAGAACTGGGGGAACACTTGTCAATGGCAGCGCAAATATTGAGCGGGAAGAAAGCAGCTTGGGCCCAGAGGTAGAGATGGGTGGTACTGGTGAGCAGGTACCACATTCTTCAGCTATGGGAGCGGCGGTGGAAGGGAGCTCCTCCGCTGCTCATGCCATTACTGAAGAGAATGCAGATGCCGAAAGGGAAGAAGAAGGAGTTTATCTGTGAATAGTAGGTCTACTGCAGCTTTGTTTTCTTAAAGCTCATTTTGACGCCTGATATTTCATCTCTCATTTGAGCTGGTGTTTGTTGGCTGCTTGGTTGAAAGCAGGTCTAGGCGTTCAGGTCTCTAAATAAATTAGGCTTCTATTGAAATACCATTGGCCCACGATATTATTCTTTTCTCGTGATGAACTCAAGCGTTGCTTTAAGCCGATTGGCCTCGTCATCCATTATGACAGAACGAGCAACTGTCAAACGAAAGGTTTCGCAAATATTATGTTGTTCCGAACAATATAAAGGACGACAGGCAATCTGGTGGATCTCCGCGAATATTAAAAGAACTCATAGCTATGTAGCTAGCCTACTTTTGGGAACCTCTGTTCGAGAAATAGAGGGACGAAATTCTTGTTAATACATTCAGTCAGGTACTGGTTCATACATGTATATATAGACTGAGAACCTTTCCATGAGATAAGAAATATATAAATCAGCAAAGAGCCAACAAAGGAACATTCAACAGCATTAATTCTGTACGGGAAGGACGGATGTCCTCTGTAGGGACACCTATAAAAGGAGGGAAATAATCTGAATTAGTTTATAGTTGGCTCTCTTTTACAATATTGACTACGATTTATCATGATCATGATCGATCACTCTCAGCTACAGCCTTTCTAACCATATACCTAGACCCGTTACTACTACCCATGTACTACACAATAGAGATTGTAGCATCCCGAAGTCGCTCAAGTGTAACGTATTTGACCAGCCAGTAATGTCAGACCTAGAAACGAGTCGTAAACTTTGAGGCGAAAAGACTCGGCAATAATCACAAGCAAACTTGTTCCAGTCGGTAGCAGGTTAAAAACGCTATGTCCTCTGGTGGTATGTAGCGCCGGCACAACCCCTACATGTAACACATCACATGAGATGACATGTGAAAGCCCACTAGTAAATACATACAGAAATTCTCCCGCAAACCTCATACAAAGAAATACATCGATGAGATTAATGGGAATATCCTATCTCTCTTCTCACGTCCAATGTATTACTTAGCTAGGCTACTATTCGATAGCATGCCTGTATGTATCACTACTGCAACCTCAAAAGACCCTATAGCTAACAGCATCGTGATAGTCTAGCTTGATTCTCTTATTGACATCAATATATGCTTTGTTTATCGAGGTCTTTATATTTTGGAGAAATGTCTACACTCTGGCGCCAGCTTCTACGTTATTTTCATGATCTCGGTTCATGAGAGCTAACATATGAGATCTGCGGGGACATAGAAGCTACGGGCTTGGTACAGAAAGAAGAAGCCAAAGGAACGTTTACTTGAGCAACTTTCTCAAGCGAAAACCTACGAACAGTGGCAGGATACTGCGACTAAGCTTGACGCGGAGCTGGGGAATGATTTGTGGTTTGTGCTCTGTGCTCTGTTACCTGCATTCGTGGATAGAGTCGACCCGCTGACACGCTCCCTAGGCGGCACGACCCCACCAGTACAGACTATGACTATCAATTCATCCGCGACTGCCTCCGACGCCTAAAAGAAGCAAGGAAGGACGGTGATATCGTAAGGCTCGTGAACCTTGTACGTTCTGGTAAGCTATCGATTATATCTCATTCTTAAGATGGTATGTTTACCATGTACTGTAGGTCTGCTTCGGAATCTGGGGAACATATCACACATAAACCTTTTCAATCGCTCCTATGCTGGCAGCAAATACTTGATCGGTGAATATGTCTCAGAAGTTGTCAGTTGCCTGAATTATATTGCCAATTTGGAACCAACCCCCCAACTCACGTCGCAAGCAAAACTGGACCTTTTCCACGACACAAGACAGTCATTTGGGCGTTCAACGCTTGTTCTGCAGGGAGGTGCAATGTTTGGACTGTACCATCTTGGCATCGTTAAGGGTCTTCACCTCCGTGGCCTGTTGCCTAGAATAATAACAGGAACTGGCGTGGGAGCACTGATAGCCGCACTGGTTGGGATACACCCAGAGGAGGAGTTGATAAGGTTCCTTGCTGTTGATGGAATAGATCTCAGTGCGTTTGATACAAAAAAGAAGGAAGGTAGTTTGAAGAGAAAACTGATGAGATTCTGGAAGCACGGGTACTTTTTAGACGTAAAAGTGCTGGAGGAGTGTGTAAGAGCCAATGTCGGCGATCTGACCTTTGATGAGGCCTATCAGAAGACTAAGCGGATCTTGAACATCACTGTCTCGACTGCTAAGAGAAACGGGGTCCCAAAGTTGCTCAATTATCTTACTGCGCCGAACGTGTTGATCTGGTCTGCTGCTTGCGCCTCTAACGCAACCTCAACCCTCTACGATAGCGTTGAGCTGATGTGCAAAGATGAGAACGGTGCGATAGTTCCCTGGGTAGATCAAGAGATCACCTGGCAGCGCTGGACACAGGCTTCAAATGCAGACCGCGATTCCCCACAGACTCGAATCGCCGAGCTCTTCAATGTCAATCACTTTATTGTTTCCCAAGCCCGCCCGTACCTTGCCCCATTCCTAATGTCAGATCTCCACCGCCACGGCCGTCACGGCATCACCTTGAAGATAGTGCACTTACTGGGGCTAGAGATCCGGCATAGATTGAGCCAGCTCGACCTTCTCGGTTTTTTGCCATTTGGGCTGCGAACATTCCTCGTCGACGAGACTATCCCAGGCGCCAGCGTCACAGTAGTCCCGCACCTCAGGTTGGCTGATTTTGAGCAGTTACTGCAAAATCCAGATAAGCAAACAGTCAAGTATTGGATTGAGAAGGGTGAGCGGAGTATTTGGCCTGCGGGAGAGCTTCTCAAGGCTAGATGTGAAATTGAGTTTACCCTAGATATACTGTATCTGAATGTGAGGGATGACCTCCAGGTTTATCGAGGGGGGGTCGAGTGCTTAGATAAGGGTACTGGAACGTCTAGGATGGAGGTTAGGCAGCGGGCGGTCAATGAAAGCAATGGAATCGCTGGCCACAATAGGAGGTTATCGAGCTGAGTTTATCTGGAACTAGACTAGACCCAGTAGCGCACGGTGCAAGACAGGAGTCGAGTCACTATTCCTGTAGTTTATGTTTTTCATAGCGTATTTTTTTTTTTTTTTTTTTTGGGGGGGGGGGGGGCAGACTTTGGTAAATTGCACAGGGGATTGAATTTGGGTAACTCCTAAGCTGTTGTGTGATTTAAACGTAGAGTATTTCTATCTATTCACAGCGTCTCAACGTCCCCAGGCGATTTACCGCATACGTGCATCAGTAACTAGAGTAAACCTCCGCCACTGCGGGACGGAACCAAAACCTAGCCATTTTTACAAATGTCCAAGTTTAGTATTGATATAATGGTGGGTGTGTTGTTGTAGTGGGTGTTTGTTTGTAAGGATACCAATGATCACTTTACACCTAAAACAGGGATCCGGAAAGTCACGCTCAAGCCCTCGCACGCATTCGGGATCGGGAACCTTGGTGGGTAGATACATACTAGTACATGCAGTTACAGTATCAGATATTTATATAAATCTGAAGGAATCACCACCCATTTCCGGCGAAACTACACACTTCACTACTCGGAGCTCCCAACACCCCGTCCACGAAATGGGCGAGAGCTATCAAATCTTCTACAAACTCTTTCTCTCTCTCAGAGCAATGAATGGGGGGTATTACGCAATTTTTTTTTATTCTTATTTCTACCTCGAGTTTTTATACATACAATCTAAGTAGGTTAAATACTTTCAACGTCATATGTATCACTCGGCCAGGTGGGTAAAAGGGCAATGTATAGCTGATAAAGCTACTACGCCGTCGCCGGCTTCCCAATCTGAATAATCTCCCCCGTCGCCTCGTCGCTCCTCAGCGTCGGCCACGACGTCCCATCCGCTGCGGTACAGAAAAGCGCTCAAGTAAGCAACCATAATCCCCTACACCACACCACACCACACCCGCCGGGCTGGCGGGCGGCCCACGAAAAAAAGAAAGAGGCAAGAGGGCAAGAGGGCAAGAAGAAGAAACACACCTTTCTTAAGCTTCAGCTCCACCTTCGTGCCCATAACCTGGTACTCACACGCCCCGGGGTCGATCGGGCCGTAGAGCGGAAAGCTGGCTTTATACCGCTTGCTGTCGGGCATGGGCAGGTTGACGTCCAGCTGCTGCGGGAGGAAGGCGATGTGCGCGCGCGCCTTATCAACCTTCTTGGCGAAGATGGACACAATCACGTGCGTGTAGGTCTGGTAGAAGTCGTTGCGGCAGGTGACGAGCTCCTCCTCGTCGGCGGGCTTGGGCGCGCCGATGAACAGGTGCCGGTTGGTGGCGCAGCCGGGGAGTTTGAGAAATTGGTCGAATTCGAGGACGCGCCGCTTGCAGCAGGAGTAGCCCTTTGAACCTGATTTCCGGTACGTCAGTCAGTCAGTCGGCGGGGTATCTACTTCACAACCCCCCCCCCCCCCCCGGGGGGGCGCACCGCACCCCCGGCCGCAACATACCTTCGTGGAAGATTGGCACCCCCGGATGGAAGACACAGCTCCCGTCCTCGTCGTCCCTGCTCCCGCTGTCATACACAGCATCGCACCCGTTGCGCTTACACTTTGCGCCTACGGGCACCGCGGCGCCAGGCTCATCCTGCTCCAGCGGCTTCTCCTTCTTCTCCTGGGGCGGCGTGGGCGTGGCCACGGGGCGGGGCGCGGGCTTGTGCTCCGAGCCGTAGATCTCTGTGCCGTCCGGGTTGGTCTCGGGCGGCGGCGCAACCTCGGTGTGCTTCTGGCCGGACGCTCCGGGGCCGGAGGTCTGTGCGGGGGCGAGGGTCGGCGCGGTGGTCGAGTGCTTGCCGGTGCTGCAGGGGGGGATTTGAAGGAATTCGTCGAAGGTGAGGACCTGCGGTGAGGGTTAGTGGGAGTGCGGGGCGGGTGGGGTGGGGTGGGAGGTACTCGAGGTTTGCAGCATTGCCAGCCTAAGGGTGGGGGAGAGATTGTCAGCAGTGCTATATAAAGTAGGTAGAGAGAGAGTGTGTGTGTGAGGGTATATATATATACCTTTCTGGCCCTCGTGGAATATCGGGGCACCGGGATGGTAGTAGCAGTCCTCCTCGGGGTCGATGAACGTCTTCTCGCAGCCCTTGTGGTTACACTTCTGGGGGGCGGCCATTGCAGTGCTTTTTCTTGCTGTGTCTATTTTTGTGACAATTGCAAGTGATTATGATGATAACGCAGTAATGAGGTGTGAGAGATGATGATTATGATGAAGATGATGATGATGGACCGGTAATACTCTCGGGGGAATCAAAGCAGTTATAATTACCTATGTATGCAAGGCGAGACACGGCTCGACTGCTCTCTTAAGCCGCGTTCTCTCTCTTCCCTCGCCCTCTCTCGCCCTCCTCGCCTCCCCGCCAAAGAGAAGCTTCTAGACCTCTAGCGTGGAGGCTGAGGCAGGGTAACCTCTCCCCCCCTCCCCCAAACCTCCGGCGCTGCGTGAACGATCATTGGCAGGATGCGTCTATGGCGTGCATTGGTTGGTAAGAGCGCCGGACCGGGGGTACGGATTTCGCATAGATAACGAGGGGACTCTAACGGCCGGGCTGTGATTCGTGTGATCTGCGGCGGCGCGAGCTGATGGCGCAACGCAGCTCAGGGAAAGGTGTGGAGACGATCATTGACAGGGGGTGGTGGTGGGAAACTACATGTAAGGGTTTCAACTAATCGCCTGGCCAGGACATGTAAAACCCAACACAGTGGAAAAAGTTTGTTTTGCTAGCGTGGCAGATTGGGAACCACCTTTTTTTTTTCTGGGTTTGCACTTGCACTGGATTACGTAGTGACATCGGTTTTGAAAATGCCTCTGCGTAAGATTTGTTCCTCGTGGTCGATTCTCGTAAAATCGTTGACCTGCATGTACGCGTAGGATATATATACAAACACCTAATCCACCCCCACACTGACTCCAAGATATATATACACACAAAAAGGAATGTTGCACTCCCTCTCTCTTAAATTCCATAATGCCACGCAATGTAATGAGAATGCCGCCAACCAGATAAAAAAAAACGAGAGAAAATGCGAAGTAAAAAATAACGCCCTTTTTTAGTTCGCCGTGCATGCACCCCACCCCCTCCAATCCGATGAGAACGAATGAAACTAAGAAAAAATATAGAAACAAGAAGAAGAATGAATAAAGAAAGAGCGAGGGTAGTAAAGAAGAAAGAAAACCACTACAGCTCAGAATTGATATTTGCAACAAAACGGTCCAGAAAGTATTTACAACCAGTGAAAGGGAAAAAGAAAGGAAAAAGAGGAACGATATGGTACGTAGGCGGTAGTGGTGAAATTAATGATTAATTGGAAGAACGAGTGTGTAGAAGTAAAGTGAAGGAGGTAGGTATAGTAATCCTTTCTAGGTCACAAAGTCGTTTGCAGATGGTGGTGGTGGTGGTGACTTGAAGCCTAGGCATAGATCCCTATGGATAATCATTAGTCCTTATCTCCCACAAATCAATCACCATGAGTCAGGTTACTTACAGTACTCAGTCGCATATTCCACACTAAACTCCTTCGCCATCCCTTGACACGTCGCCGGTGGCTTACCACCCGCTGTCAAGATGCGGTACCCCAGTTTGTAATCCACAGACATATCCGGGATCGCCTTGATCCTGAGCCAGTCCACAGCGCCGTATCCCATTCCCATCTCCCCCTTCGACGCCGTATTGACTGCTGGCACACCCTCGTCTCTCTTGCCCGCCAGCAAATACTTGTCGCTCCTCTGCACCCGAAAGTCGAATACGGGAATGGAGTTGTTGGGCGCAAAGTAGTGGTGTCCGACCATGATCTGCTGACGGGTCATCCTCGTGACAATGGAAAGTGACTCCGCAATCATATCTTTGGAGAGGTTAACCATGATGTCAGGGAGCGTGTGAAGGAGCGTCGGGTTGCAGGCAGCCAGGCAAGAGGCATCGTAGAGGGTTGCGACGGCGCCATTGGCCGCTGGGATTGTAGTGCTGAGTGAGTCTGCGCAAGTATAATTCTGGACGCCGCGTCCGAGGACTACGCGTGCAAGACTCGTGCCGGCATCTGGAGGAGAAAGGTTTTCCGTGCCTTTAGTAATTCATATGTTAGTAAGAATTACTCGGGGTTAATGTTTATATATAGTTTCTAGAAGGTCGGCGCCAAACTGCGGGGCATGCATATGAGTGGTTGAATGGGCCAATGAGAAACTAACCATTTGTCTCGGGCATGACCGCACCTGAGAGATCGCAGCCGGTGATCTTTTGGTTCTTGTAAGCGGACAGAAGCCTTGCGAGCTCGGTCAGTTGAGGACTGGCACCGAGTGGGAAGGCGTTCGCGGCGGCGCTGGTGAAGCCAATGACCACGGCGGCGAAATGAAGGAAAAGCATTGTAAAGATATTCAAACTAGATAGAAATAAAATAAAATAGAAAATACAAAAAATAAAATAGAAGAGAAAATATAAAATATATACGGATTAAAGTTGTTGCGAACAAAAAGACAACAAGATACAAAAGGCAGAGATGTGCAGTCCAAGTAGTTAAACTGAACGTGAACTGAGACAGGTCAACACCAGAAAGGAGAAGGTCCAGAAGAAGTATTGACTGAGGTTAGGGTAGATAAAAAAGAAGAGTGATAGGAAGAAGAAGAGAAGTAGAAGTAGAAGCAGGAGATCGAATTCGGCACTGCTGCAGATACGAGTGCAAGTCGGAGGGAGAGAAGAATTGAGTTCGGCGGCAAGAAGATCTCCTAGTATATCCTACTGAATTGACAGATTCAATGGGATGGTGAAACTGATCACCCAAAAGTGGGAGACATTCAGGGAGATATATATGTACTCTCGAGCGAGTATGCGGCGCATAACCAAACTAGATGGTTGTTGTAGAGTCTCAGACATTTGGTAGCCACAGCAGATGGGTATTGGGTAGCCCTCATTACAGGACATGGGAGCAACATGGATTTCTCGAACAGGCATTCTTAGGACAGGCAAGGTTAACACTGTGTTTACTAGAGCATGCAGTTAACTTCAAGAACCCAGCTTTGAGAGGGGGTAGGTGGGTGGGTGGGTGGGTGAGTGTGTTTGGGGGGGGGGGGGGGGGGTGTAAGGTCCGTAGTAGAGTACCTAAAAGAAGTCTTAGATCAGTATCCTAGGAATGGAGGAGCAGGATTTTGGGGGGGGGGGGGGGGGGGGGCAAACCAACAACTCGTTTTACCCACGAGGACGGGTTGCACACTGGACAGTGCGTATCTCTCTCCTCTCTACCACCCATGATCCATAATAATCCATACCCACATCCGGCTACTCGCTCGCTTGATCGGTCTGGCTCAACCGTACCTGCATGGCTTGTGTGTCTTGTAGACGAGATTCTGCAGCCAATCCCTGAGTGTCCAAGACGCACACCCCTGCTGCTGCACGCTCATCACTCCCAAAACTCGCAATGTGATTCGACTCGTCTCATCTCCACAAAGCTTGGTGCTCGGCTGGTGCTAAAGTTGCCCCCTCATTCGCTACACCCCAGCTCCCTTTCCGCCTTTTCCGTTCCTTCTTTCTCTAGTCTGCGGCAAAAATATACCACTAATCTCGCCTTCTAAGCGCCTATTCCACTTAATTGCCCCCAATTAGATCCCTATCCGGGTGGTGACCCCTCCAAAACTATTATTAGAAAGGTTGGGAAGTTGCAAATAAAGCCCCTTCTGGGAGGAATCGGTACACATCCAAGAGGTTAGAGAACCTTTACCGCCTGTGTGCGGCCGATATTAAACAAACACAAATATATTTACCGCAATTATTATCGATCTCGATATATTCATAGTTACCCCTCATATATGTTTATTCTCGTGCTCTGGAGATCAAATATATTGGCATGTTGTACGTACTCCACCCCCCTCCCGGCCCCTTGTATTTTGCTTAACGATACTCCTTATCAGAAACAGACCTTAAATCTCCACTTCGTGAAAACGCCTACGAGTGATCACACATGATTCTGGTCAACGGGTGTCTCCAGTTTGCCAGACAGTACCTATCAACCTCAATTATTTATGTCTTGCAGTCCTGCATGCTGTTCCCGCACTGCCCCTACTCGCATGTCGTAATTACTCGGTTTGATCGGTCATGCTCACCGGTCGGGGCTTGAAGTTAGGCAGCTGCCTTCATACTTACCGCGCAGTGCATTTGGTTTTTGGACAGGCGCAGTTCTAGTTCAGTTTTTTCACTTTATTATATCCACCGCTCTGCATATACCTTGGCTCATTGATGCTTAGGTCCCTTTCATCCATTCATTGCTCTCACCAGCCAATCTCACGGTGACGCCTTTGTCTTCTTCGAGACCTAGATCGTCTGTTCCGGCGATGAGTGTGCTTCTTTTCAGCGCCATGTTGAATCTTTTGATTCGACAGCCATTGAGTATGGTCAAAGCGCTTTCCACGCTATACTATGCCGTCACTCAAAGCAGATGGAGAAATCCTGGATAAGACCGTTCGGAAATATACCGTAGTGACGTGGTTCAACAGATTCAATGCCATGTGCGCCGTATGGCATATGAACCGTCCCGGGATATAAATCCAAGAAAAACCGATAGGCTTTTTTAGCCTCCATGATCCATCAGCTACTCAGTGGCAAAGAGGAAAAAAAGAAAAAAAGATTATCGGTGAATCCAGGATCTAGGTAGATAGATACCTGTAAAGGCTCGAAAAATATTACAAATTCTCGGTAATGCCTGCCATAACTCCACGAGAGATACACAGCAGGGGTGAGAGTATACGGAAATCGAAAGGTCGGACATGTGTAGATATGCATGCCGTAGCAGGATCACACGGCGCTGTTTAAGATCTGTCTAGTCCCTCAGTTTTCTTCTTTTCTTTCTCCTTTGGTTTACTGCCTCGTGGTCAAAGGAAGCCTTTTTTCTTTGCCTTCTCCCTAGTGACTATTTCTCCTTGCATCTTCTTGGCCTCGAACAGGTCGCTATCAAAGACACAGTCATCACTCTTAATTGCGAATGACCATTCCTGCCAATTCTCGCCACGAGTTCAAATACTATGCACTGTCTGCAGTTGGATAATTGAACAGCGATTTCAGTGCGGTGAGCGGAACTTGATAGTATGCGTCTGTGCCGCAGAAAGAATCCTTTGGAAGTGGGATACTCGATATTTTATTGGCCACAATTAGGCGCTGCGACAGAGACTTCGAAGATAAGAGCGTCAGTAGTGAGCCGAGCTACATGTAATCTTATTCACAGATAGGCGCGCCGTGCGTGTGGCTCAGAAACAACGTATAAATTATTTCTTTGAATCTGGTGGGGCGAATATGGTGTGGTGGATGATGGTGGACGTACATGTATCTGTACTATGAAAGCCCGCCCCATTTGTAATCTGACATATATGTAGGTCTATAAGACTAACATCCGATACACCCGCTAAACATCATATTCGATGTCTGCCAATATCCGAAAATTATAAAGATAGATAAGAGCACGTCTCTTATGGCCATAGAAAATTATTGTAATATCTCCAAGCTCTGGATCTGACTCTATCTTTATATACCCTCAAATCATCTGATTCTCTCGGGAGTGTCCTGTTTCTAAGCTAAGGGATTTTCGAGGTAGGATCTGAGTTATGGAGAATCATTTTCATTACGAAATCTCAACTTTTATTATAAGCGTAGTTGAACGATTCCTTATTCCCCAAAACAAGTTTCTACTGTATCCAACAGATCCGCGATATTCACCCTAACCTATATACCGCTTTATGAGACGACGCTGCTAAATATATGTACGTAGATTGCCGCTTCTTTACTCGTCGAAAACGAGCAGCCGGGAGTAACTTCATCACTAAGCTGAAAGGTCGGGATTGGGAAGTGCCATTGCCATCGATCCCGATCTCACCCATATTTCTATTTTTTTTTTTTTTTTTTTGGTAGTTGGCCATGATCTTCTCTCGAAAAAAAACCTAGTTTCTCTGTCGGTATCCAAAAGCTTCCCAAGCCCTGTCTGAACCTATATTTATTGTAAAACCAATCAAGATGTCCACAAGGCTAGCTAGGGGCGACACAGTCCGAATTTCGCGACGCACTATTTACAAACGTCTTAGCCCATATCTCTCTGCGAGCTTACAATATTAGTTAGATCTAAATTTTGCAGCCATGCTACTGCGTGTCCATGCCGATCGATATAATATATAAGCTGATATATGACTAGTATCGAGCCTGGGAAAGCGAGGCTCTGTAGTTAGCGCTAGCGTGGTAACAGTTGAAATATATCAGTAATTTTGTGCCCGGGTAATTAAAATTTCCAAGCTGTCATTGACACCAGTGGACCCATACCCGGTGATTACATGTACCCAGCCGGTGATTTGTATTATACCTTCACTCGCACCGGGATTGTAGGATAAAGGGATTATAACTTACAACTGGGATAAGTAGAAAATGCTGACCACCTCAGGGAATTATAAAGGGAACTGCAGGTTAATCTCGAGTGATATTGTATGATTTAGCTTCTGGTTTAATTTGGCGATTTACCAGGGCTAGTTTTCTGTAACATTTTTGTTGTCACAAACAATATATATCCCTTTCCCGCGGAATATAGTACTTTTTGATCCATGCACAGACGTACATACATGTAGTTCTGTTCTGCGTTTCATCAAGCCGAATACATGTATTCGGTACTGGATACCTGGTACGGTGCAACATTGTTAAACAGGCTTCTATAGGATAACTACATGTACACGTAGGCTGGGAACGAGTCTAGACTAGAACATCTAATAAAGTTATGTTTCCCATCCCCTTTCGGTTATTCTTTGTAGTTATATGCCTATGTAGGTACATTTATTCAGGACAAAACAGAAGCGTCTAATGTATCAGTTCCATCTCACATGTGTTTTGCACCCAGGTCATGATAATGATGTTTGAGTTCATCCCTTGACTGCTATCCCTTTCGCCGAAACATTTGTTGCAATGTGTGGATTTTGTAGGCTGGGTGGTAATACAGAACGTGTAGTTACGTTTTCCGTTTTTATTAAACTTTCGTCGCCCTCACGTACATCTTAAAAGGAGTATCCCTCGGTGTGATTTAAATCGAAAGGTTTTGAGGCCGGGGATGATCGATTTTTAGGTCTTGCGATTGCACCTCGCGACGAGTATCGATAATTTTGTGCTCCTAGAAATTTAACACGTCGTCTACAAAGACGTGAGAGTGGCCAATTCACACCACAGCCAGGTAAGGCACGCAACATTAACGGCGATTTGAGATGTCCAGCAGGGGTGGCCATCTTCCATAATATTACGGCATAAGATAGTTGGGAAGCAAAAGTACCCAATACCAGAAAGTACCAAGGCTCGTAGAGTACCTCCAGCCTCAGACCTAGGGTTCCGCGAGGTGGTCTCTTCGTTGCGAGCTTCCAGTCTTTGAAAAGTAAAGGTGTCAAATTCGTTCTTGGCAATCCAATGAAGAGGAGAAAGAGGTGGCCTATTCCTCTTATGGCCCTAGTACGACATTATTTGACAAGCCAGACCAGGAAAATACAAGTGCACACTGTCCACAAGCTGTATAGAGAGATTCAGTGCTCTTGAGTTGCGGACAGCTCTCACTTTCTACCCCTTCATTCACTTCCCATCTCAACTCAGTAGTGCCCTTCATTCTCCTGTCTTCTTCTTTCCTTCCTTCTCCTCTTATTCCCGAGCAATTAATCAATTCAGCGCTTCCTTCCCGCTGATCGTTCTTTGCTAGCTCGTGTGGGAATCTCTTTCGCTTTATTAGTCCCTCTCTCTATCTAGCATCGTCACCCAGTTAGCATTCAAAACAGCCATATAGCTTTACCTCAATCGTTTCCCACACCAGAATCTCTGGTCTTTCGGGCCTTTCTTGGTCCACTCAGCGCTGACCGTCCTTCACCCGGCTATTTTGCTAGTTCTGACGCCACACCACCTCTCATCTAGACACCACCTCTCATCTAGACACCACCTCTCATCTAGACACCACCTCTCTTCTCAGTCAACCTTACAAACCATCTATCCTTTGAAAGCGATCAAGATCAATTTTATCATCTTATTGCTCAGATACCCGAGCAATACCCTCGATCCTCGATATTGTTCACTTAGCTTTCCCAATAGCTTCTGCACGTCTCAGCAAAGCTTCAAGTTCTACAGACTAAAGGGAGGGCTGGATATATAAGTCTGATTGCTCAAATGAGTTCGGTCGTTCTTTCCTGGAGCATTTTTCTGGCCCTAGTGGGCGGCATCTATTGGGTTTACTTTTCGCCTAAATCTGCCGTCGTCAGATCTAGCTCCAAGGCAGTCACGGAAGATAAGGGGGCAGGCAGCATATTTCTCGGCGCTAGCGGCACAGAGAGTGCTGTAGCGGGCGAGAAAAAGAAGAAGAAGAAGAAGGCCGCTCTCAGTAACACAGCTGCCAAGGAGCCTGTGTCGACTGGCAACATTGCCAAGGCCGCAGAGTCTACGGATGATGATGATGTTGCCCAAGAGGTAGACCAGGCCGAGCTTCTTCGCAGACTCCAGTCTTTGAAGGAGGGTGGCAATGTTGGGGGCAAGAAATCCTCCTCCACTAGCTCCTCTACTCGTCTTGCTCCCAAGAAGGCTTTAGCAGCTCCGGCTTCGCCCTTCGCCACGGCTTCGCAGACGTCCTCAGCAGGAGCAGACGCTGATATTGACGAAGAGGAAGCCACTCGTCTTCCGGAATCCGAATATTCCTCCGTCTCCAAGCAGTCACATTCTTCCGATCCTAGTGACATGCTTGAGCCTTCTACCGGCGGACCGGGTGTGTTGAAAATCACTTCATCCACCCAACTTCCGAGGTCGCAGAAACAAAAGACGACAAGCGCAGCCGACCAGGCTGGTGTACATGCGAGCAAAAATGCCAAAAAGAAGGAGAAACAAAAGGCCGCGAAGGAGGCAGAGAAGGCAGAACAAAAAGCCAGATTTGAATTGCACCGTGCGACTATGAGGGCCGCAGAATCTGCCAAGCAGAAGAACAAGCCTCAAGCTGCTACCCCACCTCCACCTTCCGCATGGACGAGCGTAAATAGCCACACCGCACCTGTTGCCCCTGCAGCTCCAAAAGCAGATGGCCTTCTCGATACATTTTCTACGCCGTCAACTCTAAACAAGCCTAGTGCGACAGACGATTCACCTATCGACAGCGAGGATGAGAAGAAACAGATGAGGAGTACCCACCTTGACAATTCTTACTGGGAGGAAATCCCAGAGCATCTCATTGGGGGTTGGAACGAAGTTCAAAAGAAGAGTCGCAAGCAGAAGAAGGCCGCAACTGATGCGCAAACTGGGGATGAGTCTACGGATGCTAAGAGCGGGAGAGAGAACTTCCAAAGCAAGTCCTCCGTCAAGGCCCCAGTTAAGGCGCCTGCCAAGATCGTGAGGCAAACTGTCCAGAAGAAGGACACTTCAACAAGTGGGAATGGATTTCAACTCTTGGACAGCGGGAGTACAACAAGTGACACCAAGAATTCAAGTTCCGATTGGGCAGAAATTGACGACTCCGACAACTGGGCAGTCCATCCCGAAGAATAGATGTGGCCTTTTTAAACGTTCCTAATGCTGTTCGGATTTCCTTTTTTTTCGGTCAAAAATTTGGGTTGGGGGATTTCCGCCATTTGCATTTCTTACAATCACGCTGGAAGTTATTTGTTACTCCCTCTTTTCATCATCAATGGGTCTGGGTAGTCAACCTTTGGATGGGTTGCTCTTGTCATTTAAAAGCAGAACACCGCAATTTATGTTGATTGTTTGCCTGTAACTGGTTATGCTTCCTCTTAACAATATTTCGTTCATGACTTCTGTTGAAAATCTAAAGTTCAGCGTTTTTTTGTCGTTTTCTTTCTTTTCAGATTTAACAGTTTATCAAGGAGAGACTACATACATGTTTATGTAGAGTTCAGTCTTGCATATCCGGTTATTGTGCAAGTTTAGGCCGAAATTTCCAACTCTTGCTATCTCTGCGCCAATTATCGCCGAGGTGACCCAGTATATCAAGCTATATTTTCGGCTCGCGCCGCCGATATTGAAGGGAAACATTGAAGTAAATGGTATTACGAAGTAAAGAGGATGTAGCCGCGCACATCATATTTTTTTCAGAATGTAATGTGTTGCGGCACAAACAGGTACATATGCGGTCCAAAGATACCCATCTTTGAGTAAATTGGATACTAGCGAGATATGTTAATTGGCCGCCGGGTTTTTTCAAGGAAAAACTGCAGGGACAACTGCAGGAACTCATTTAGGTACTCAGATAACGAATGATGAGTATCGTATCGCTGACCGTGATTGGGAGAATACTAATGTGGACCATAACCCTATCGCCGCAGGAAATATCAAATATCTAGGCCCTAACCCTATTGTCGGGCTGTACTCAGGTAGAGGGCCCAAAATTCCCGAATGTAACTACATTGTAGGTGTAATAATAAGTTGTTGGTAAGAACCGGAGAGGCTTACTTACAGGTACCTACATGTATCTACCCTCGTGCCTCCTAGCTTGACAGTACCTGGAGGCTGAACCACCCTAAGCTCTTAAAATAGCTCTGGCGAGTGCTAGCGTTGTGGTTAGGGAATTGACCGGCGGGCATCACAAATGCACTTCCCCCTCCATTCTGGGCTAAGTTTGGTAGGTACTGTATGTAGGTACACATTAGATTTTCGATTGAGAAACAATTGGTGTTGTGGCGCCGTGTTGTTACGTGAGGCGTCATCAGTCAAAGAATCCTCAAGAGAACTTTGAGTGTGTGCACCTATGATATAATGTAGGTACCCAGCGACGAATATCTAATAAAATAAAATCTGTGAGATATTATCCCCGTGAGTGCGATTTCAAAAAAGATACATGTATCTATCAGTTTATTTACGTAGTAGGCCATCCAATCCAAAGCAGCGGTGTTGAATTTAACTGACCGGTGGTTCTGCTACAAAGGGATGGGATGGGTTGGTCGTCCGTACAGTTCTGACCACCTTGCCTCTCCGTCACTGAGCCCTAGCGGTCATCTCTGTGTCTACGAAAGACCTCCTTCCCACATTCGCTCACTCACTCCCATCCTCACCACCCCGCCCCCTTCCCTTCTTTCTTACCTTCTCCTTCTCTTGATAAAGCCACCCACCTCCCCGCTTCCTGCACAACCTATACTACTATCACCATCAGATTTTCGCTTGCTTGAGCTGCTTTCGGGAATCGTTCTTTCAAGCTTTAGTGTCGATCTCGGTTTTTCCACTAAGCTCTAACATACCTGTCCGGCTGGAACCTAACTTTTTATCATCGCCCCTTCTTAAATTTTCTCCATTCTAGTGGAGAAATAACAGAGAGAATAATAAACCTCATAAAAGCTACTACTATCAGGAATCACTATTACTATCACTCCCCTACCATTTGTGTAGCAACAAAGAACACCAGGAACAATGGCACAAATTCGAGGAACTGCGGGCTATCACTTGGGTCCGGATAATAGGCCGTTTGGGGGACCCTCACACTCGGCAGCTACATCTGACCCTTCACCCCTTGATGCAATTCGTGAACAGACGAGTAAAATTGAAGACTTTCTGGATACCATTGCGGAACCTGTTAAACCGTGAGTTTTTCCCAATGACCGCCGGGGATGTGCTCAAATAAGTATGAGGAGTACTAACGAAAGTACCATAGATATCTACCGGCAATTGGGCGATTTCTCATTGTCGTAACTTTCCTTGAGGATGCAGTTAGGATAGTTACACAATGGAATGACCAGCTCCAGTATCTCCGTGACTACAGACACAGTTCGTGCACCTTGCTTTTGCGTCTCCAGGTTCTCAAAAGGACACATTATCAGGATCTTATTTATGGAATTACATCTAACACGTCATCTATCATAGTACCTTGGGGCCTCACGCACACATTTCTTTTTCTCAATGTAGTCGCAATGTTGGCTTGCTCTACCCTAGTTATTGCCCGGCGTCATTCAGAATATGCCGTCGGCGGTCTCCTCGCCGTTGTTGTAACCCAAGCTCTGGGATACGGTCTTATTTTTGACCTGAACTTCTTCCTTCGCAATCTTTCCGTCATGGGCGGTCTCCTCATGGTTCTTTCCGACTCATGGAACCGTAAACGGTTCGCATTTGCAGGTCTCCCCCAACTCGATGAAAAAGATCGCAAGATGTATTTTCAGCTTGCTGGAAGAGTTCTTCTTATCTTTTTGTTTATTGGGTTCGTATTCTCTGGTGAGTGGAGTATCACTAGGGTGATTGTTAGCATGCTTGGATTTGTTGCTTGCGTCATGGTTGTGGTTGGGTTCAAGGCAAAGCTCAGTGCTGTCTTATTGGTGGTAATTCTGAGCATTTTCAACCTGTTGATCAACAACTTCTGGACTGTGAGTATATCCTTTGTTTTGGAATTTCATCTGGAGCTGGGTCGGTAAAGTGAGTATTTACTAAACTCGAATGTAGCTTCACCCCCACCACCCGCACAGGGATTTCGCCAAATATGATTTTTTCCAGATCTTGTCCATCGTGTAAGGATCTCCTGATTTACCCTCAAGGCTTCCTCTGTGTAGGCTTGAAGCTGACAAATTAAAGTGGCGGTCTTGTTCTTCTTGTCAACATGGGACCTGGACAATTCAGTGTCGACGAAAAGAAGAAGGTTTACTAGTTCTTCGCAGGCGAAAGGTTATAAATCTTCTTGTTGGGCAGGATTGTCACAGGAAGATGTACTGGGTTGTAAAAGAAAATGTAGGGAAATCATGCAATGAACGATGATATGATTATTGGGACACTCTGGGTAGAGGCTGGGGGAAGGTTTGTAAAGCCAATTCGCGCAAATCATAAGTAGGACCAAGGCTGTTATTGCGAGTTGAACGATAGGGTAGTAAAGTATTTCCTGTGCGAGTGCATGACAGTGTCCCAAGTATCGTTTCCTTTCTTTTTTAGCTTTTTTTTTTTCGTCAAGTGGCGCTTGTGTTCATAATTGTATGTGTGGTATTCTTACCAATACATGGGGATGGGTGTGGTTATAAATAGAAGAACACACAATGAGAAGAATACAACGTGTCTTTCGTTTTCGATCCAAGCATTCAGTTGCACCTTGCAATGGCGGAACTCGGTATGCCGGATCCCTTGCTTGTCCCTCTGGGAATTCTATTTTTCCTACTGCAAAATCAATTTGCTATCCCGGATTCCTTGGATCCCGTACAACAAATTGCACCTTCACGTCATAGAGTATCACTCGGTACACCTCAGCAGTTCGGACAGATATCGACACGCACAGAACATTGCCTATCGAATATTTGTTTTAGGAATTAACAGCAAACTAAACTTCAACAGGGACACCATTCGAAACCTGACTATCCAATGGTATGACAATTAGTTTCGTTCTAGAGGAGACACGTCAAAATAGACAAAGAGGTGATAAATTCTGCGCCAACAGTATTCAATGTCTGTACGAGCAGTGTCAATTCCATGTTATTGTGCGGCGATACAAAGATATCTACAACGCCATATAATATGGTCTGTGGTTGGCTACGATACTTACCTTGAAATTTAGATACGTATTGCATGATTCAACCAACACTATGTTAAGTGAAACCGAAAGGATAAATCGTTTGATTGCCCTAAAATGAGGAATTGGCTAAGTAAGCCTGAGTTTTGGTAACTATCGTCTCATCGCGGCGCTCCTGATTCAAGTGTTTTGAAGATCAATGGTTGCCTGAAAACTGACAATTTACTGTGCTGAGATAAATATACAGATAGTAACAAATGAGTAGACTCAGTTTATGGAACCTATTCTTTGACAATCAGAGGTAGCTTCGGGCGATTTTCCAGACACTGTTATTGCTTCGTTGGTCTCATCTAATGCTTCAAGTGTGTCCTCCAAAAAGTATTGCGATGCAATATTTGCATCTAGGGGGGGCTCTTCATCATTCTCGAGGTCATCGTTCATCTCCCTCCCCATCGTTTCACAATGGGCAGTGTTTTTCTCTGAGTCCAGTTTAGCGTACCTACAGAAATCAATCAGTAAACCTGTAGAATGGTTGGATATATGGCGTCATCATAAATACTTTCTCTTGGCCTTTTTCGTCTTACTGGCCTTCTTCTTCTGAGCCTTTTCGACTAGCTTTGCGTTCCTGCTTTCGGCTCCATTGAATCGCTCATCAAGTTTCATTGCCAGAATATTTCTGGCAATTTTGCGATTTTGTTCCCTGGATCTCGTGGCCTGAGATTTAACAACAAGGCCTGTTGGTAGATGCTTGAGCTGAACAGCCGAGGATGTTTTGTTCTATCAGACCATGAATGGAGGATTAGTTTGTTCGACCTCGCGGGTATCCTGATAGCTTACGACTATATGTGCTCGCGTTAGTATATTTGAATATGGGTAGAGTGTGAAAAATACTTACTCTTTTGACCTCCAGGGCCGCTGGGACAATGTGATTATGTCAGAATTCTTCCATATTATAAAGGTTTCTATATTCCATCATTGCCGATTACCTTCCCTTCAGAAATACTTCAACAATTTCATCCTCAATGACCGATGGTCTGGGAGGCATCGGTTTGCCTTTTCCGAGGGCCGGAAAGCAAGAGAAGCATTGCTTGGATTGTGCATGTAAGCGTAATATCCCGAAATTAATGCGGTGCTGTATTCGCTGGGTTATCATCATAGCTGGCTTGATTTGGTAAACAAATTTAAGAATCCTCAATCTTTGAAGCTGGTAAGTTTGAGGTTCAACGGGGCTTGGCAGTCACGGGTCTTCGGGGAACATCAAGCTTTGTACCCATGCGGGTACTGCGGGCTGTCGCGTAGCTATATAGAGTACTGGATGCGTTCCTGTAAAGTTTGAAAAACAACACTCTTAAAGGTTTAGACTGCATCATTCGAGATTGGGCCAATCAATAGCTCGGAAGTTCAGAGGTTTAAGCTATATAATAAGTATATTCGAGTAATAATGGAAACCCTAGTTGTTTGAGCTATTACTTTAGAGCTTCCTTTGATCTCTGTATAGTCATACTACATGTACTCCTTGTACCGGCCGAGGGATGGAAAACGCTTGTATGTAAATATATAAATACATGTGGGTATTCAAATTCATCACGATTTGACCATTTGAACTACATGTATTTCAATGGCGCCGGTCGACATACCTTTCGGGCCATTTGTAGAGACGAAGAAGGAAAAACGATGTTAAACATGTATGAAACCCGTTTTTAGTACATACATGTATCAATAAATCACTTATATGGAGGTACACATCTGGATCGAGGTGAGTAAATTACATATATGGTTTCATTGGTGGTTTCACCGTGGCCATTAGGTTCGTGTTCCTCACCCAACAACTCATTCAAAAATGTAGATACGAGGGACTGGAACAGGCAATGTGTAGTCCTTGTCATCGCCTACAGATTGTCAGTCTTGGAATTTACTTTCTTGTTTTTAATGGGCCAGATACATTTGGCACGAGAGATAAGTTTGGTGAGGGAATTGGGCAGGCTTATCGTAAACGTAGAGCCAGACATCCATCTTGGCAATTTAACTAAACAAATCATTCGTCATCACTCGCTCGGTTATCAGTGAAACTGCCCGCTTCTAAGGTAGTCAACTCGTCGATCCTATGCTAGGTAGGCTAAAACAATAATCGGGGAATATCTATAAAAGAAACAAATCCAATACCTGATAAAGATTCAAGTCAGGAAGTTTTCAAGGTTTTGTTTGATAAGAACGAAAAATCAAATCACACAGCCCGAGATTACAATAAAGGTGTGGGGCAACGCGATGGTAAATTTCCTGGAACAAGAAAATAATCTTTTATCACAAAGAAAAAGAAAGAGGAGAGAAGAAAGACCATTGTGAACGTAGAACATGAATAGATAAGGCTAGGCTAAAAGACGTCGCATGATCCTAATAGATTTCGTCTTGGTAACGTTGGCCAAGGGGGGTCAAAAAAGGGACTCCATGGTATTCATTTTGGCGTAATAGTGATCGATCGTAAAGCATCCCATTATGCTCATTGCTGCTCCCTGGATCTGTCGTTATCCTTGAAGAGGCCCTGCTCTTCAAATGTATCAATAAGAGGCCGTAGAGGTTCGATGTCGCGGCGTTCCAGCAGATCGAAGGCCTATGTATGTAAGAGCCAGTTTAACTTGGATTTATTTGATGAGAGCACATACCCTTGCAAAGTGAATAAAATGAGCGAAAAAGCTATTGAAATGGGCCTCCAGACTCATATGTACTATTTTGGCAAAATGCGTATGGTAGATATGTGCGAATACTCTGAACATTTGCTTATAGATCGCCTTACAAGTGGTATAAAAATTTGGCGGGAACCCCCCTTCCTTGCCAATCCACGCCTGCCCACTGGCGCCTGGAGTACCGGCAGGCGAGCTAGCAGAAGACCCCCCAGGAAGGATAGCGGATGGGGTGTTGATTGTGGCCGTAGTAGTGGGGTTGGATTTCGAAGGAAATATAGTCTCATCGTTGATGCGGTTTGAGATCCATTGCAGCACGTACTCGATGTAAGTGGGAGCAGGGAGCCGAAGAGGCTTTTTATTGGAATCAAGCCACGAATAATCCAGTCTGTACTCAAGTAAATGTAGGTTAGCATGATTTCATTACGCAAGCTAGTATTTCGAGAGTGTAATGAGTAGGATTTGAGTGGATATCGATTACATACCCAATGCCTGCAGACATCGACGGGCAAGCTTGAATAGTACAAAATTCCTGAACAACTCCGAAGAATTTGTTCAACATATCAAAAAATTCAAAGACTATCAGAGATCCAAATTAGCGTTGACCATAACGTTCGTTTAGTACTAGAGTGATGCTCGTCTGCTAAAACCAGAATCAAAAGGAACCTACTATTCAACGCCAACCACTCCCCCTGGTCAACATATCTCGGCAACACAACAATAGTTGAGAAGCTTCCTTTAACAAGCTGACTGGTAACAAATGGCTTGCACAAGTACAACGGTTTCTGTGTTACTCTTTGGGCTGATGGGGAGCCTGGCATAAGTCCCGCCGGGGAGGCGTTACCAAAGCTCCCACCACCGGCTCCACCACCGGCTCCAGCGCCTGCAGCAGCACCAGCACCAGCAGGTTCTTGATTAAGAGGGCCAGGCTTAGGTTTACGGGGACGGAAACCGCGACTAAAAAAATCGGCGACAGAGGCCAGCATGTCAGAAATAACTCTTTACAAGAGGTTTGGAGTTGGATAAGAGTGAAACATGAACAGAGGTAGAGAAAGTATGATTGTGGTGTAGGAAAAAGAGAGGAAGGAGATTGAGGAAACAATTGAGAGAGGGAAAGAGTAACATACCCTAAAGAACCGAAAAATTGCGACATCTGGAAGGATTGCGGTAAAGAATAGCAGCTTCCTTAGCCTTGAAGCTTATGGAGACGGGATTGAAGAAGCCGCTTCTGGAGTGTGATCGATCGGAATAGTTAGAGCGGAGGTTGAGCAGGTAGCAGGTAAGAAACAAAGAGGAAAGAAGAAGGAAAAAAAATGGAACTTCGGTAAAAAGGTGCAAATGGGATATCTATCGTTCGAGTAAGGGAAGAGAGCTGTTGGCGGTCACGAATAGTGTGGTTCACCAAGGAAAGGGGCCATAGAAGTGTGGCTTTGGGTATGCAGCTGCTTAGAGCGCCACTATCTGTGGCGAGGAGACAGTAAGTACATACATGTACCGGGTGTAGCGAAAAGTGATGAGAATCTGATAAGACAAATACACGTATTCACCGCAACATTCACTTATCAGATTCTGATCACTTACCCTCAACACCCTACTATTTTACATGTACTAATAAACCCATGTTTGGCTAAATACCCCCGGAACCAACCACAGAAGAATTTCAGAACAGGCTCTAAGAATCCTATCATCTTTGAAACGTACAATTATGTACATGCATGTAGGTACAGTCACTACCAAGAAGTCTTCGTGATGGCGCACACCACGCCCACCAAAAAAAGGTACAAAGCGACACACCAAAACACAAATATCTTTGAATAACTTCACAACCACAAAAGATATTAAAATTATGGTTGGTACAGGAGCAGATATAGTATCCAAGAGACTTTCTATCCAATCAAAAGTAATTGATTCTGTGATTGTGAACCTATACCATGTCCAAAGTGACTATCTACGTAAGGTGCACCCAATCCTAAGGGCAATACACCAAAATTTAAATAACTCGACACCAATAGCAGCCGTTAATTTTTGCTTAAATGTAGAGCCTCTTGAGGGCTATACCTGCTCTCATCTCAAACAGAATTCTAATATCTGTTGTGGTTGTGAAGTTATTCAAAGATATTTGTGTTTTGGTGTGTCGCTTTGTACCTTTTTTTGGTGGGCGTGGTGTGCGCCATCACGAAGACTTCTTGGTAGTGACTGTATGTAGGTACATATACTTTACCTTATTCTTTGAAACGCTACACCTCACGTGATTGGTAATATAATTCACCTTCTATTTAACTACAATAGAGCGTATTTACAAAATGCAAAATTGACACTTCCCATCCAAGGGATATGAAATGCGCAAGCCGCAAAATGACACTTGTGGATGCCGCTTTGGAGAGTGGCGAAGCGCCAATTGTCAGAATTGACGGTTAGTAAATACGCTCTAATACTTGTAGTCTTGATGTGCTGAAATCGCGTTATTATGACTTTAATCTTTTATATACTTATTTTTATGTACTTATACTCATGCGTTTATTAAATGGTCGGAATTCTTAGTAGGGATTTGGTTGCAACGATATCCGACCATTTAATGAACGCCCGAGTATCGAACAAAATACATGTATGAATATAGACAAGGCCCCGCCATGAATGAACATCGCGCACGTATATTCTGAAACCTATTCGGAAATCACTTAGCTTGTGGCCAGTACCATACATACCCACGTAAAGCTGTGAAACAAACTCTTATAGCTCCTTCACGAAGTCCCTAATTTTCATCCAACATTGATTGAGCTGATACCTAAGCATGCGACCATGATCGAGAATCCAGAAATATATATGTCCAGATACTGAGCATACATATAAGCCACATCTATTCCATACCTTCCATTAGTGCTGGGTTATCTAAGTACATTCCCTTTCGATTCACCACTGCTCGAAGAAGCTCCCACTCGTCGCCCTCTTCGAATCCCCATTTATTAGGCTCTGAGAAGCCCCATGCCTGGGCAACCTTATCGAGCGCCGCTCTCTCCTCCTCTCTTAACCACCTGTATCTCAAAGGTGTCCCAACTATCCACGTAACTCTTACCATCTGATCGTTCGAAGTCATCAAAGCAACCATCCCGATACTTCCGGTAAAACCAACGTATGCCAATAAGCCAGAAAACGCATATTTTAAAGCGAGCGAGTGATCAACTTCATCCTGGTACCCAGCCATGGTATCTGCTAGGGCGTATATAGCTAGGGGAGCTAGGCAGCCTGCTACAGCTGCTGGGGCAGCTCTCCGGACCAATTTAGCTTTCATGAAAGCCGGAGCGCCATACGAGGTGTCAATGATATCAAGGCAGATCGACATATCTCTCGACTCAATAGCTGCGTCAAGTGCGGCAGATGCGATATGACTTGGGATTGCGTATTTGATCTGGTTGGGATTGGGCTGCCGGGGCTTGGATGAGCCTGGAGGAGTGTATGATTTGTTGGCATAAAGAGAAAACACAGCTGGTATCGGCGACGGATCGCGGATTAGAGCCTGGAGCGAGACGTAGGATGCAAGGATTGAAGGGGTGATAAAGACATCTGGGTGAGATATAATCGTGTAGGCCAGATCCGTGAGTGGTTGAAGACTTTTTAGGGAACTTGATTTCGAGGAAATGATAGTACCCGACCCTGTTGTACTTGCCGTTGATCCAACAGTTTGCTGCTCAGATGCTCTCTGCGGGGATGGAGAATGGTTCACTGGCTGCACTGGTTGACACTCATCAAGTGACAGTAAAACGGATGTAGGGGTACTAGCAGCAGAGCTTTGCACTGAATCTTGTAGTCGAAAGCCGGCATAGCTTTTGCATGCCTGCAGTGCCAAAAGGACGTCCGATTCGGTCGGTGAAGATTTCGCACTGTGAAGTGCTTTCTGAATTCGCTCCTCCAAAGACGCAAGAGAACGAAGACTGTCTCCAGTAAGTATCTGGCTTGATTGTGTACCTTTTTCAGGCAAGGTTGACTGAGAGCGAGAAGGACGTGATGCGGTCTGGAAAAGGTGTTGAACTCGGGTGTGCGGCGAAAGCAAGGACCATAGGTGGATTGAACGATTGAGTGACCGAGTTCCAGCTGCTCGTGAACAAGAACTGCAGATCAATGAGGAGCCCCTCATACTTTTTGCTTGCTAATGTTGCTGGGTCAATCGCAACTCGGGTCTTAATTCCGATTATCTAGGTGTAAGTAAGTATATATCCTAGTTAAGTAGTGGAAAGTGAACTTTCAAACCATCGCAATTAACCCTAACCCTTCGATACAGTTATCCTAAAATCTAGGTACATACTTTACATACATAGCACAGTAGATAATTCTAGTATTGCTACATGTTCCGTCAGTGGAGAACAACAGTGAGGTATATACAAAAATGCAATTACCTGCTTAATTAGTCGACCGTGGTATTGTTCATGAGTACGCTCGAAGGTCGAAGTAGGTACGTACATGTATGTACTAGGGTGTAGCGAAAAGTGATCAGAATCTGATAAGACAAATACACGTATTCACCGCAGCATTCACTTATCAGATTCTGATCACTTACCCTCAACACCTGGTACTACATTTAGTCGCCATTGATACCTGTAATTACCCCATCAGGTCTGACGCGCAGGGTCTCACATCTCGGTTGAAGTCTTAACACTGGAACTGTAGAATACCCCGTGGTGTAAAAAGTCAACGATATTATCAGACCAGCGATGAGTTATCAGCAGCTTCAACATATAGGAATTATTGGTGCAGGGGCGTCGGGACTCACTTCAGCAAAAGCCCTCATTGCGGAAAAATGCTTCCAATCTATTGAGATACTCGAGCAACGGATGGAGGCTGGAGGAGTTTGGAACTACACCAGAGAGACTGCTAATGTATCAGTGCCTTCTACTGATCCTAGTATTGTCGAGGAGGCGGTAATCAGCGAGGGAAAGCCTGTATTTATCTCGGCAATGTACGACGAGTTGGGTATGCGCTCTCAATTCCATCTCTCGAGTAGAGAGGCGATGTAGGCTGAGCATATGTCTGGCCACAATATCGCCTCTGTATGTGCAGAAACCAATATTCCGAAGCAGTTGATGAATTTTGATGCACACCCATTTCCCACCAACTTGCCTCTATTTCCTCCTCATACCGCTGTGAAGGAATACATCCAAGAATATGGCAAGGACGTCCAGGACCTTATCACTTTCAACGCTAAAGTGGTCGATTGTCGGAAGAAAGGGACGAAATGGGAGGTTTTGGTAAACGATACACAGACTGGCCAATTACAAGGAAGGCGCTATTATGACGCTATAATCGTAACTGTAGGACATTATAACATTCCTTATATACCATCTGTGCCGGGCCTAGATGAATGGACAATGGCATATCCAGGTTCAATTTCGCATTCGAAGAACTTCAGGAAGGCCAACTCTTATATTGGGAAGGTAGCGTGCCCTTTGACTAGTTGCTACTCTAGTTCAGCATGACTTCAAAGCTAGATTTACTGAATGAAATAGAAAGTAGTTATAGTAGGAAACTCTGCAAGCGGTCTCGACATAGCTGCTCAGATAAGTCGATTTAGCCAGTGTCCCATCCTTCAATCATACCGGGGGGAGTCAGGTCTCTATACGGATACCACTCAGGATGCGATTTGCAAGGTACCAGAGATCCGGTCTTTCTCAACTCTCGAAAGATCTGTAGAATTCTCCGACGGAAGAATAGAAAAAAATGTGGACCATATATTATATTGCACGTAAGATAGTAATCTTTCGCTTCATGATACATGTACTAATCTATACTCAACTTTCAAGGGGATATCTTCATTCACTTCCTTTCCTTTCATCACTAAACGAAGGAAAGGACCCACTAATAGTGAATGGATTCCGTGTTCATAATCTATACCAGCATATATTTTACATCCCAGACCCAACACTTAGTATTATCGGGCTCCCAGTAAAGGTGATCCCCTTTCCACTAGCCCAGGCAGCAGCAGCATTAGTTGCAAGAGTTTGGGCCAGTCGGATTATCCTACCTTCCAGGGCTGAAATGAAACATTGGGAGCTGCGGGAGATTGCCGAAAAGGGAGATGGAAAACATTTTCATTACATGGACTTTCCCAGAGATGCGGATTACCTCGATCTTTTGGGATACATGTGTCAGCAAGCCAAAGGCGAAGGAAATACCGAGATTGGATTTAAGGCGCCAAAGTGGGGAGAAAAGGAAAGATGGGTTAGAGCTAGAACCCATCGAATCAAAAAGGCTTATCTGGAGAGGAAGAAGCAAGGTGTAGTTGTGCGCAAGCTGGAGGAATTAGGGTTCGACTTTGAGAAAGGGATGGATGGGTATGAAAGGCCTGAGTCTCACCGAGTGGGGAAACTTTAGATTAAGTAGACCCACTTAAAATGTATGCCTAAAAATTATCAATCAATCAGCCAATCAATCAATCAAAACCAATCAATCGACCAATCAATCAATCAATGACCCATAGACGTACATGTAGTTAAAGTCACTGAAAACTGTAGAAAGGCACTAGCGCGGATCCGGATGAAGTTGGAAATATATTAGGGACCGGTTTAGAAAAACCTCAATCCTCTCCATTAGTGACTCCTGATCATGAGTTTGACATATAAGAGGATCCTAAACACACTCCATGAAGTAATATTATTACGCAAGAACAAGCTTTCTTCCTCACTTGTGAAAGTACCATTTTGAACACCCGATTATAATTATTATATTCGATAAATCCTTTAGATGAAGACAGGTCCTGGAGGCGGTCATGGATGGCAAAATAATCTCTTACTGTATTTGAAAACACATAGTTGGTAGTCTTAGGGGCGAACATAGTGAGAAGGTACATACTTATAATTAGTTTTATCATGTTGGCCATTAATTCCATTTATCTGGACCAAGATATTGGTGAAGTCAAACATTGGTTTACCATCGCCACATCTGATCTGTTCATGACAACGACTACATACTTTATGTAATTTAAAGAACACAGATACATCCGTTGTCTTCACGGGATGCCACAAGGCACCAAGGATGCTGCGTCCTTGATTAAGCAAGACATCGAGTGATATATGATGAAGTGCATGTTTATTTCGGGTACTCACAGTTGAACTACATATATAGCAATTCCCCTCGTTGTGGTTATTTATATTTCGGATTGCTAGAATTTACTACAGTCAATAGTGTGATACATCCTAGCTGCCAGTGCTCACCACAATTCACTGCTTTTCAAAACGGAACCAAAGAAAACATCGAAATGCCCAAGTTCTTCTAGCTCAGGGAGGTAACTGAAATGATTTGGTTTGGGTAATTCATGGTTCGTAGTAGAGTACATGTAGTTGGTTATGTTTTTGAACGCTGAGACGCCGAGATCGGCCAGCTTTAGGTTGATATTATTTTAGAGACATTTATCAATTCAAGTGCTTCTATTCTTTCCTTTTTCAATCCAAACGAAACAGAAACGCCGAAATCCAACAGGTTTGTGATCATCATCTGTTGGGCTTCTAGCTTTCGATTTGCAGCAACATATAACTACTTATATACAGTACTCGGGAGTGTGATTTTTGGCAACCAGCGACGTGGAAAGGGAAAGTTCCGCACAAATTAGTATTGAATTCAAGTACTGAAAACTTTACTATATAAAAATGAAATCCGCCTTTTCACAGAAAGGCTCCGTCCGCCTGCATGACCAATTTCTATAAAAGGAAAAATTAGAGAAGAAATTACTCTGAGAACTTGGTTTCACTTACTCAAGGTCTGTAACTCCTCTTCCAGTTGGCTGATAGCTGCTAATTTTTCACAACTCTGGCGTTTTCGCTCCAACTCATTACTTGTTCTCAAGGACTTTTTTGACTGTTTTTTACTGCTCGGGATCCTTCTGCCTAGAGTTAAACACATTTTTTTTTGGTGGCTTTATTTTTCTCTTTTGATAAGGAATTTCAGTACTAGATTTGTCGGCTTCCATCAGTTGTGATTGATCAGCAGTCCGGTTGCGAACCCACGTTGCTTAAAAAATATTAGAAAATTAAAAAAAATCGGTAAACATGCTTACCTTCTAGTCGTTGTACTTCTAGTACGGGGATTAATTTTCAGAAACTCCAGTACAGTGAAAGCTGTGATAATTCTAGCCTATCAAAATTCGATACCTATAATAATTCCAGCCGTGACCGGTGCAAATTGTGTTCTTTGAGTGAAAACCGTCTAAATTCCATCCTGTCAAGCACAGTTGTACAAGATTTATGAGGAAACAGCGTAATATACAGAGTTGTATTGTTGAATGATTTGAAAAATTGTGTAACTTACACAATTATCAGTTTGTTACATGTTTTTATTGTGTAGTAAATAATTATGTACTAGTTCCACAAATATCTTCAACTAAAAATAATTGTGCGCTATTCACACAACCATCTAACTTCAACAGAAAGAATTGTATACTATTTACAGGATTGTAACGGGGGTCTCTTCTAAGTGAAATAGAATAGGATAGAATAGAGATGGCCATGCAAGATTGTAATGGAGCCATTCCAACTGTCTGGTGTATGAGTACACACAGGGCCCAGTTACATGCTGAGAGTTATTGTTAGAAGCCAGTTGCACGGCAATATGCAAGTACCGGCAGTGTGGTTAGCTACCAGCTGTTAGAGTAACTACATTCCGGGCACTAGGAAGGAGATCTATTCATGGGAGCCATGACTGACGAGTCTATGCCTCGCCAGTGAATAGAAGACCGGCCAGAGTGAAGCTCTGATTGCCCGGTGATCCTCTGTGTCCTCTAAGCATAGTAGGACCGCCGAAGAGGCAGGGACTATGCTAGGGAAGTCTACAATAAGTGAAAGCTCTACAGCAATGATTAAGCTTACACCTGAGCGGCAGCTCATTCATGCAGGCCCTCGGTTGTGTTGCAACCAAGGCTGCAGGTGTTACAAAGGCTTTGACTAAGGGTGGTTGCCTTGGGGCATCGGAAACACCTGCTGACGCTTAGAGAAAAGCGGGGTAGTGGTAGTATTGTTTCCGGTACCGAGAAAAGGCTCCACCGGAACTTAGTATGGAGTTAGGAGCAGAGAATAGAGGCCTTCGGAGTATAAGTACTCAGGTTCATTCTCGCTCCTCAGTCCTGTTCTCTCCAGTCTTCATCAGAAAGAAAACCAAGTTCTTATCGGTAGCAGAGCCCTTAAAGATTATTGAGTTCTAGCGATAGTATCTTTGAATAATCTGCAACCTGATTGTCTATCTTGCACGGCCATCTCTATTCTATCCGA